TGAAAATTGTATCATTGTAAACTCAAAAAAGAAAGTAAAATGAAAAAGAAAGATAATCTGATTTTATTGGACTCTATATTTTGCCCACTGCTAAAGATGATATTCGCCATTAATTTTGGTACACGATGTCATGTCAAAAAATCCAGCGACTCTTAACCGCTGTTGTGAGGAATTCCCTGCTCCATTAACTTCTAGGATTAGTATTTTGCAAAGTGTAGTGCGGTTTCCGTTTCTTTATTCCAATCACTTGCATCTTACACCGCGTTGAGGATGTGTTGATTTTTCGGTTTTGGGGGCACCATTATACAGGGGATCTATTTTTACTGCTCTATGAATTATTATTTCTTAAATTACTCTTTATTCATCATTACGTTACCTCTTCCTCAGAATCCATTGGAATTGGCAGATGTTCTATTTTCTCCATAAAGGGTGCCTAATGCAACCAAAATTATGCTGTGCGCCCACACTCTAGATTGAGGTATTTTAGTGTAACTTTGAAATGAAATCTTAGTTGATCGGATCATATTTTTATTGTTTTTATGAAAGTTTCATATTTCGTTCTTCACCAAATATGCTTCAGCCTTAGCGAAGTATAACAAGGAGGTGGTACCGTTCAATGAATCTCATTTGGGACCTTTCATCATACTGCCATCAATAGTCCAAAAGTCTATCTTAGTGACAGAAGTGTACAATAGTGGCGTAATACGTAATACCAAGCTTCGACTAATCAGTCAAAACCCGCTTGCTGCTACATTTGACACTCGTAAAGTGCAAAACCCATATTGAAGGTGACGAAGCACACTTAAAGAATGCTGGCTGCGTTTTGTATCTCATTTGAATATCTGAACAGACCACTGTGAGAGAACCAGTATGGGTTCGCTCCTATCTTGTTTCCCGAAACACGAGACAATGTCTTCCAGGTGCTCCAGGATATATTGCAGGGGGGATGTCATGTCTATTCGTCTTCTGGTATATGATTCTATCCCATGATTTCCTCATCCGAATTTCGACGTCCTCCGAACTAGAGTTCACAAATTTTCCAACTTTCTATTCTAAGTATAGTCACTGATTTCTATGCGCAAACACTCCCTAAAAGAATCTGTAGATATTCTTGCAGGAACCATTATTTGATCTATTATTCTCTCTGCAAGGAAGTGCTTCATGTCTTTAGCGCGATGTGAACCAGCTGAATCTCGGACTATCAGACCTCGTTGATCACTTCGCAAAACAGAAGACAGCGTGAAAGCAGTCAACTTTCTTATAGCTCCGTTACTACACTGTTTCGAAAACAGAAATACCTGAAAGGTACTCGATTTTATCTTGCCTATCATTGGTAATGATCAGAGGTGGGGATTTCTTTCCATCTGCATAAATTTGCAAAGAAGATACTTGAACGCAAGTGCACGTTCGAGAAACTTCGGAATCTTCTGCTTGAACAGTGTTATCGATTGCCTTAGAGACAGGATAAGTCGCGGAGGGAACTTAACCAGTGTTTTGAAGTCTCTTGCGGGTAGATCAAAATACGGTGCTACTGCATCAAAAGATACTATATGCACAACTAGAATCTTTTCTCTTTTGTGAGTGATCCATTCACAGATGTCTTTTAATTTAGGAAATAATGATTGCCCACCTGATCCACACTTTTGCGTCTTAACAAATGCTTCTTTCATCTGATGACTCTGGTCATTGTACTGTGCTCCCCGTTTCGAGACCATACGGAGATCAAACATTTTCTCTTAACAGAATCCCGTACGATTTTTTAACCGGGTGGCTTTAACAATTCCTTCTTTTGGCACCAACCTTGTTGGAATTTCAGGATAGCATTCCAGTAATTGTACTATTAAATCAAATGTTAATTCAAGACTTATGAGACAAGTACGGCACCAGGAATTGCGAATCCCAAGCATGATAGAAAACACACGAGCAAACCAAAAAACCGGCGGCGCCGGAATTCTGCACGAGTGACACAGTGAAGTACGATCCACATTCGGCCAAAATCACATAAGTGCACCAGTGGCGTCTGTGATGCGATTTGGCCAATCAACAACAAGTACCTCATCCGCCTACTGATTCGTTTGTACAGCTTCTACAGTATGGCTTAGCTGACTTGTTTTGACCGTTTCGGTGACCACGGTCAAGGCAAGGTTTGGTCTAGCTGAACGTTTTAGGTCATCTTTTGTTAGGTATTTCTCGCGAGACCGTTAAATTGTCTACTCCGACTGAACAGTCCAACCAGGTGGGCCTAGACAAAACCATCAAAACAAAACACAGTCCCGACAGAAGTAATGTTCCAGACCAATCAGTAAACAAAAAGCTTTCGTTGGGTGATTATGCTCAGCCTTTTGACCAGTATTTAAAGAACCGTAGTACAAGTGCCTCCCCCCAAAGAAAAAAATTGTCATCGCCGTTGTCATTTCGTCCGACTCAGCATATTGCTTCCGCCCTATTGAATAATTCGGTAGCGGAGGTCCTTAACCAGGGCTCATGTTCGAAGTAGATTGAATATTAAAAGCAATTCAAAAGATCGCGCTAGGGTTTACTTTTGGGGATTTTTTAGTTTCAAATGCGGTGGAAATGTTTGTGATAACCAACAAAGAGCATTGGACAGCTGTTTCGTCTTGTTTGGGGACTCGTCAGCAGTGTGTACTTTTTGTGTCCCTGTCAGGACGCGAACCGCGATCAGTCGGGTCGAGACTTCAAACCCTTACCCGTGAGCTACACGGCCGACGGTCATCGCCCTGTGCGAATGGCTCAATCAATTTAGAGTATCAAGCTTGGATTAGCCCATTCGATTGTTCAGAGGCGTCAGGCACACTTGATGGTCTTGAGTGTGGGTTTCACTCCTTGGGAGATTCCCCAAGACCATCAAGAGTGCCTGGTGTCTCTGGACAATCGAATGGGTTAATCCAAGCTTGATACTCTAGTTTTCAGTTTCAGTTTATATAACTATTAACCACGCACTTTTGTGCATCAATTACGGTTGCTGTCTTTTGGCTGTCCATGCAGATAGGGGAGCAAAAGGAAGATTAGAGTGTTGAGAGCATGGTCAAAGAAAAGATAGAGAATACATACGGCACGGGGTTTGCAAGGATAATGAGTAGATGAACTGTTTGGGACAATCA